TATATATTTATAAAATTATAATTATAAAAACAAATCCTATCTTAGTCAATACAATGTTGAAATTTATCATTCATAGACTAGAATCAAGTACATTTTGTAAGAAAGGAGGCCTAATGTAATAAAGTCTTGTGATAATTGTGCTTTTATCCTAGGAACCTCTATCCTGTGTATAAAGTTGTCAATTGTATAAAACTTTAATAATTATAGTCCTAAAACGATATTCGCAACCATACCTACAAAAAAATTCTTATAGTTCTATATACATTTATCTGTATAATTACATACGTACCTAATACAAATGAGAATATTAATTTGAAATTCACAGAGAGATGCAAATAATCAGGCATTCTGCAATTTTGTTCTCCCTCAGTGGGTAGAAGCAATCCAATTATACATATAATTCCTGCAATAAGGGCTACATAATTCGTACCTCCTAAAATATAATTTGTAGCTATTAACGTATTGTGTTAATTTGTTTAAAAATAATTGTTTCATTACTATATAAATATGATCAATAAAGAATTTATTTTTTATTTATATGTAACGAGCTCTCGTGTGTGCACATGCGCGCGCGCGCGCACACACACACACACACACACACACATTAATATACTATTTAAATTTTGCAGATGTAAATCATTTTGCAATATAGAAATACAAATTTTCATTTTATTTTTTCTATATCAAATAAAATTCACAATTTATCGAAAAAATTCAAGCTTAGTTAAAACGAATCTTCAAATATTTACTTACTGTCTACTGCTTTATTTCGGCCTATGAGTGCATAGGATTCTTGTTGCCTATTTTCATTTATTGGAAGTTGTTGAAACACATCTGGATCTGGTGTTGTTCTCCCAGCTGTATCTACTGTTCCAGGGAGAAGTTTAGCTTCTACGTCTCTTTTTCCAATTATCTAGTAAAATTGATAGAATTTAGAGCTGGAACGAGTGTCTCTGTCAATCATTAGTGTTATAAATTATATTACCTGCTTACTAGGATATTCGTGCATGTGTATCCTGAATTTATCAATTACATTGCAGTTATTTGTCAAGATTGCTGTATGTCTGACAACAATATCAACGCAAGAACTAGCTTTTATTATACCTTCTGGATCAACCACTTGATATTTGTATGGTGCAGTACATAATACTAAATCAAAGAATTTATTATACGGACATAAGGTCAAAATTAAAGATTCTTTTGTCAACAGAAGAAGAAAACAAAGAGTCACCTCTGAATTTTACAGGGAATTCATATGGGTTATACAAAGTTAACACTTGCTTGTGGGTGGACTGGTCGTCCAAGTAGAATGTAATACTTTGTGGAAACACAAAGATTGGCAATTTTCGAGGAGTAGCTGCTGACGTCAATGACATTGTTCCTTCTCAATCTTAATCTATCCATATACCTGCAAGATACAATGCACGATATTTTATACATGAATATTTGTAGCTTAATTTATATATTTTTCGGCACTTTTCTTGAGTACAAAATTGTATAATTATCGAAGCTACTTATTAAACATGTTATTAATTCTTTATAACTTGACCTTGTGTGAAACTCACGCATTGTGAATTTTACATGGAATCAAGTTAAAAAATTAATATTTCATAATTACAATAAGTTATAATTGCAAAACAAGTTACAGAATCGCGGCTAAATGCAACCCGTTAATTTACACACTCAGAATTAAATACACGATAAGAAATTGCATCAATTTCTTGATTTTCGCGACTCATTCAAAGAGAAAGCGATATCGGTTAGTTGTTAATCAAAAACTAAAAGTTGCGACGAGTGATGGAATTATGCGATTTGTGTATAGAAATGAGCAATCCGGTCGCCTCATTGGATCAGACTTCACACCACTTCACGCCGCGCTGAATAGAAATGTGCAGAAATATGAAATAAATATATATATGGTAAAATATTTACAAACAATTGAGTATCTCATGATCCCATACATCGCTACAAGTGCTGCAACCATAGACATCTACTATAACTAGATAGCTAACTGGGCTTTAGCCAATAGCAGACAAAAGGCAAGAAGATGGCCGTTCCCGCTACTTTATAAATTATGCCCTACGGTAATTATTTAGAATACATCAAAATTTTAATAAAAATGTACTTATTCGACGCGTTTTCACTTAAAACGAAAGAATCTGACAGAAAAATACGGCCTCGTAAATAAAATTATTAAGCGTTAAAGTTTGAGACTTTAGAGATTAATATTCCACCAATATAAATTAACTTTAATCGGTTTTCAACTTACTCTTTGTCTTTTTCTAGTCTCTAGTTTCTCTGTCTAGTTCTAAAAATTGGAAAAAGATGAAGAATAAGAGTGCAGTCGAGTTGCCGCTATAAATGCTCCGAAGCATCTTTTGATTGGTCAATTAGTAAAATTCTTACTTCCGATTGGTTAATCAAATGCTTCGAAGCATTCGTAGTGGTAACTCTACCACATCCTAAATTGAACCGAGATTAAAATTAATCTACATTGGTGGAAACAAGCATAAGATAGCTATCATCCCAACTCGATCAGCGCTATGTATACTGTATATGTTCTGCTTTAATTCATTATCAATGTATAGAGAATTTGTGTTTAAAACGATGAATTGTTTTTAAAGCAGTGAATTTGTGTTTGTAAAACAAAAAATTTGTATAATCAGTGTAATTAAAGCAGAACGTATACATATAAACGCTATATCGAGTCTAAGGCCCGTATTCATAATCCGTTCTTAAACTCGACGTCCACAATGCTTGAAATCAATCCGAGGAGATCGATTTTGTATCTTCAAATAAGATGAAAATTATAAAAGCGAGCAAATTTACTAGGTACTGACCAATGAAATAATCAATATTCTAGTAAATTCGCTCACTTTTATACAATAATTTTCACCTCATTTCAAGATACAGAATCGATTCCCATGGCCACCAATCTCTCCTCTTATTCAGAGTGTTACCAGCATTTGTGGCGACCTCGTAACTATGACATAGGAAATGAAGAACTAATATTTAATATGGCTGTTATGTGGAAATCATCGTTTCCGGTCGATATCTTCATCGCTATATAAGCATATGGCTGTGTTCGTTATGAACGCTCACGCGCTTTAAGCACTTGTAATCATCATTTTATCTTTATCAAACGCTTTCAACTTGAAAAAGAGCCCGCATAAGAATATACTACTAGTAGTGTTACTACTAATACTACTACTAGTGCAGGAATAAATTCGCGCTACTATACTGTTCCTTGCATTTGTATTCAAATTATTTTTATATGTATAACAATAGTGCACTAGACAATGTCACTACTCATTTCAGTAGTGGCATTATTGTACATTAATAGTGATACGCTCGTTCCAGCAGTAGCACTTATATTGTACATTACTGCACTACTGCACTAGTATCATCCAAGTATCACAACTCATCCAAGTGATACTACTAGTAACACTAACGCGAATTTATAATTACATTTCTACACTACTAGTCATGAGTAATATCACTACTCATATCTGATATTCATTGTTACGGTGAATGTTGGACGTCGTATGACGGATGTTATACATGGCTGTGTTCCAAAATTTACTGCCAGTATTGAAAATCTGTAGTGCACGTGAAAATGATAGATTTATAGTACTTGCAAATTTCGTGGCCATAGTATAAATCCTATAAATTTCAAGTATGCTGGATTCATTCAGAGTGATCCTGAGTAGCTCGCGAGAGACAAAACGAACAATGCTAATTATTCTTCTCGCATTTGACTGTAGTTGGTCAATTTCTTATGGTTTAAGGCTTAAAAAATACCGTATTGTAGATCCGAACTAAAAGAACATAATGGTAATGTTCATGGTATGTTAAAATACATACAAAATATTGTAATATGTATTAGAGTTCGAAAATTCCCTCTAAAATCTGTGAATTTTTTAAATAAAAAGGATTTAACTTAGTCTTTAAATTCAGATTGGAATCTCATTTTAAAGAGTAAAAACTGAACTAGTCTTAATAAAAAATAACTCTGACTCTTCAAAGATTTTTGCTCTAAAAGTTTGAGAATACGTTTCAATTCTTGATCAGAAGAAAGCATAATTTTAAAACGGTTCGCACAAATAACAGTCCATTAAAATTGATGCAAAATACTTTTAAAAAGAAATAGGTATAATACGTTCATATATTACTTTATGATTTAATCATATAATTAACAATTAGAAATAATTTTATTTTAATAAAGAAAAAATAGATTGCAATGAGCTAGAAATACATCATGTGTAAGTAATATTTCGCTAGTGACTCTAATTCTCTCTTTTGTTATTAACAGCAAACTCAGATTTCAGCCTCTTCAGAATTTCTTTCCGTTGATACATGACTTCTCTGTGACATAGTGGCGAGAACGCGATTGGGCATTCATACTGTACGGTCTCAATGCATCTCGTATCTTCCGTGCCATGCAATTCAAATCTGAATTGCGAAATAGACTCCACTAAAAAATAAACAGGCTGATTAGAATATCCAATTCGTCTCAACACGCAAATGAAAGTTTATGCATTAAAAAGTGTAGCAGGATAAGCAGGCTGCCCCCGCACTTATCTGGTTGAAATTTTTACCATAAGTTAACAACGATGCAAGAATGAATTTCATAAAATATGTATTATATCTGAAAAAAAATTTTTATGGAAGTTATGGGAGTGAAAATCGACGAAACGAATTTTCTCTTTAATGGATGAACCGATTTCGATGAAAAAAAAAATGTTATAGGTTTAATGGTATTTAAAAAAAATTATTTCGAAAATTTTTTTTCGAAAACGATTGAAAAAAATTCCTAAAATTAAAAAAAAAAATTTTTTTTTCAATAGGATGTACTTGAAACACTATTACTATTTTTTACTAAAATGATCTTCTTATCTTATAGTATAATATATTTAATTTTCAAAACGATCGGAAAGGTAATACATAGCTTTAAAAAATGAAGAATTTGAGCATATGATTAACCGAATGTTGCTGTATAACTTATAATAAAAATCAAATAAATCCGGGGGCAACTTATACTCATCCTGCTATGCCCTTTACGATCAGAACCGAACGGAACGCATGAACGAAATCACGTGAATGAAAATTATTCAAAAATAGTCCTATTTCTAGCAGTAGCTTGCGAGAATAGATCACATACAGTGCTTACAAAGTGCAAAAAAATGCATATAATCACTATTTTAGAGCTTTGCAAACGCTGCTGTGGTACTTTTACTTACTTTACGGCAGACGGTTTATAAATAATTGTATGAGAATCATACTTAAAAGTTTTTAGCAACACTAATAAATGGACAAATGACCCAAGTAAAGCTTTATTGCTAATAAATAATTATATTTCTCATGTATGAATTAATTAATTAAATATACTGAATGCGAGTTAAAATATTTTGATCTTGCATAAGCCATTTTCTTATAGTCATGCTTTTTTGTTCTTGTTCTAAACATTTTTATAAAATTTCTGAAATTATTGATCAATTTTTTATCTGCGTTAGCGATTTATGCGCGAATGATTTAAGCGAGGAAAAAGTGAAATTGATTGCATAGACTGATTTGTGAGAGGCGGAGTAAACAGAATTGCAAGCGGTGTCCACTTACAACAGCCAAAATCAAGGAAGAAGCAAGTCAGATGCCTGGAACTGATGACGTAGCCATGGTTGTCCGGTTTAACGGCGTAGTATCCGTGCGCTACGTTACGGATCATTGATAAATGACTTAGATGTTCTGTATACCGTACGGAATATTTCCAGTGATCGTAATTCCCGCCTTCGTCGAGTACATTAAAGTCTTCTCTGTATCATAAATTCAAACGAATGAGAGAGAGAGAGAGAGATATGCTCATAAATAAAGCATACAAAATAGGTGACAAACAATCAAAGATTCGAAATTTCGAACTTACTCGGTTTCGAATCTCTCAGATTCGAAAACGAATCGAATCGAATCCACTATGATTTGATTCGACTCAAATTCGAACTAATTCGCACACCCCTACAAATTTTATTTATTTATCAGTTGTCAATCATAAAATATTGATCATATCTATCCCTGATTTATAGTATACTCTCTTTTTTTTCTTCTTTTTATTAATACAATATTGATCCTTTTTATTTCAAGATATTGTCTGATTCCTACTTACATTGTTGGATTTAATTTTTTCATGTTGCTAAAATCAGCCACGAACTCCCACACTAGTTTGGGATCCGATTTATTTATAATGCCTTCGAACATCACTTGATGTTTCTTCTTATAAACAAATAGTATATAAAGAAGCAAAGCTCCTAGAACGCTGTGCAAAATAGATCTCGTTTTCCATTTCATAGGATTAAAACTCATCTTCTGTGTGTTCAACAAAAAGAAATAAACAAATTATAGGTCAATTCTCTTTCTCGACAGTGTATTAAAACATTCGACACTCATTCGCATTTTGTGTATATCGATCAAATTTAAATATAAAATCGAATTGCTGGCTTTTTAAAATTTTTGGATACGTCAAAGATCTTTAGACTTTGCAGCATTTTTATAATATTCCTCAAATATCTTCAATAATTTTCCCCCTTTTAATTCTTTCAAAAAATTATTTTTCAAAATTTTGATAAAATTTAAAAATGTATTTAATTATGCATCCAAGCACATATCGATCTTGAAAATGAAATTTCAGAAATATTATCGAATTAAACACGTGATATTATTCATGTTTTTGTAATTACAATTATAAAAGACATGATATATAATAATTATAAAGATACTATATATATTAAACACTATAATGATATTAAAATATATACATATTTCGGAGATGTCTATTTCCAGATAACATGAACGAAGCGAAATAATATATTTTGTATCCCAAAAA